AAATTTGCATGAGTGTGTGCATGTGGTGATTTCCCCCCTCCTTTTATAAAAATAACATTATAAACAATATTCTGCAACTTATTTATTTAATAATTTGTCACAACATCGTCTCTAATCAACAAATACGAATGAGTGTTTTTTTGTTTGTTTTAAGTTTATTTCTTCCATAAGTGAAACAGACAGAGGTAGCACCCCTAAGGGGGTCTTTTTGTAGTAACCCATCCCCAACCTTGGCCAGCCTGGGGTCATGAGCACACACATGCGTGGTGTCCTCAGAGAGGTCTCTGAACCTTCCCACGTGGGCCAGCCTCACAGAGCAGCGTGCCTAACAGCTGCAGTGCCTGTCCAGCCCCATCTAGTGCCTCTTTTTGATAGCTACATACCATCCTGTGTGACTGTTGCACATAACTTACTCAGTCATCCCCAGCAGGTAGGCACTCAGCAACGTTCCAGGTTTTCACCATTCCCAGCAACAGTGAGAACCCGCAGTTCAAATTCTTGGATGTATATTCTTACATAACTATTCTGAAAGAGAGATTCCTAAAAGCTGAGGCAAAGAGTCAGAGTTACTGCCAGATGACATTCCAAAAAAGTTGCATCGATGCAGAGTCCCACCAGCAAAATAGGAGTGTGTGGTGCCTCACCACTGTGAGTTGTGAGGAATCTTAGTTTTCCCATTTTTATAGGTAAAGAGAGCCATAGTTGTTTTAATTTGAATTACCCTGATGGCCAGCAAGATCAAAACTCTTCATTTGTCTAAAAACCTGTTGGATGTTTCTATTTAATTTCAGGGTTAGATCTTGTAAAAACCAATTTTTTTGTATGTAGTATACTCAGTGATGGGAATTTATATTTTGTTTTAGTGGGACAGGAGAGGTGGGAAGAGTACAAAGATATAGTATTCTTTTCTTTTCTTTTCTTTCTTTCTTTTTTTTTTTTTTTTTGAGGTGGCTTAGTTCTCATTTTCTTTTTCTCTCTCTCTCTCTCTCTCTTTTTTTTCTTCAAGATCAGCTCACTTACAGGAAATCCGTCTCTGTCTATTTGTGTATAATGTACAAAGGCCCCAGGGTGGGGCATCTTTATGTCTTGGCATAGTGTATAATGTTATTCAAGACTGCCCAATTTGTACATTTTTTAAATTGAAGCAAATCCACGTAACATAAAAGTAACCCTCTTAAAGTGTACAGCTTAATAGCACTTAGTACATTCACAGTATTATGTTGTCACCTCTGTTTAATTCCAAAATATTTTCGCTAGCCCAGAAGAAACCCCATACTCCATAATGTCACTCCCTACTCCTCTCATCTCCCATCCCCTAGAAACTAGTAACCTACTTTCTGCTTCTATGGTTTAACCTATTGGCTATTTCATATAAATGGAATCATACAATTCAAGGGTACTTCAAAGAGTTCATGACAACTGGAATTAAAGTATAAATTTATTTTGGAGCAAAATAATCTTGAAATTCATACATAGTTTTTTTCATAATGGTCGTTTTCTGTGAACCTTGTGAAGACCCTCTTAAATATGGGATTTTATGTTTCTTTAGTGTAATATTTTTAAATATATAGTTTAATATTTATGTATTTATTTCTTCCATGGAGAGACAGAGAAAGAAAAGTACCTCAAACAGAGTCCAGATGCTGCAGTCCAATTCCAGTTCATGGGTGTGTACATGGCTGGTGTATTCAGGGAGGTCTCTGAACATGAACCTGGAACCTTTCCATGTGGGTCTGCCTTACAGAGTATTGTTTCTTACTGCTGTGCTACTCACCAGCCTCTCAGCATAATGTTTTTGAGATTCATCTACACTGCAGCATATATCAGTACTTCAGTCCTTTTAATGGCTGCAAAATATTATATCATATACCATGGGTAGATGATAGTGAATTTATCCTTTTACTATTTGATGGATATTTGCATGGTTTCCACCTTTTGGCTATTATGAATAATTACACATGTAAATTTTGATCCTAAGTTAGTCATACAGACAGTGTTACAAGGGACCAAAAGAAAAGCATAGATAAGAACCTTTCAGTGACTACATGGGGTCTTCTGAAACTTTTGTCTCTGTAATTGCAGGAGCAGTCCCCAAACTTCTCAGCACCAGGGACTAGCCTCATCAAAGTCAGTCCCTCCATACACAGCATATAGGGAGAGCATGGAGATTTCTTAGCGCTGGGATGACCCAAACACACCACATCCACCATGCGTCCATTTCTACCACTAGCACGTAGCGGTAGACCATGGAACAATATGATTCGTGCTCCCAATACCACTGCCGATCCCACAGGAGGCAGAGTGCAGGTGGCGATGGCAGGCAGCGGTGTAAACAGCGAGGAGTGGCTGCAAGCACAAAGCCTCGCTCTCTCACCAGCCACCACCTGCCACTGTCTGGACAAGTGGACTGTCACTGATCTCAGTTTGGGGGTCAGGGACCCCTGGTGTACAGGAGCTTTAAAAGGCTGATTCAGTCTTAGGACCAGCTTTGAAATTTGTGTTCATTGGCTTCCAGATCAGAGTTAAACTGGAACACAAGGGCTCCCTCTCACATCATCTGGATTTAAGAGAAATCGATCACTTTCCTCCCTCTGGGCACTAGATCTACTAGGGTTAGTGGGTACAGTAGCTAGGAGTGTTCACAGCTCTTCCCTCTGTGGTATTGACTCCACCTCCAGGTGTGGAGTGACCGGAGGGAAGAATTATACCCATGTTGTCTTGGCATAAGACAATACTTAGGCTCATTTCCCAGCTCTGCAACCTTGATCCAGTTCTGTGCCTCCTAGTTTTCTCTTCTGTAAAATGGAATTACTAATACTTTCCATAAAGTTGTGGAGACAGGTAAATGGGGTCATGTATAGTGAGCTGTTTCAGTGCCATACGGTGGTACTTAATGAATGTTCATTCCACACTTCTCAGAGCTTCTTTATCCTCTCCTGCCCAATGCCTATAGCACTGCCTACTTCACAGAGTCACGGTAAGATAAAATGAGGTAATATGCATGTCCGTGTTCTTCGTGTGGTTCCTGCCCTGTAAGTCAAACCCCACCATACAAAATATACCTTACCTTGCCATTAGTGTTTCTCATTGGAAAGATGCTATCCAGTTGATTATAAGCTGATTAAACTGCTTTATATCTAAAGATAGCACCTGGGTATACAGAGTTCTCCTGAAACTTGGTGTTCATCACTCTGTGCATCAGGCTGGTGAAAAGACAGTCATGTTTAGGATAAACAGGCTGGCGCTAAGATCCTGATGTGTGAGTGAGGAATTTAGCTTCGCATTAGCACAAATACATCGAAGAAAGTTACAGTGATATCAAATTGCTGTGTCCCAAGGAAAAATACATGTACAGTATAAAATCTTCTCTTTTATGCAAGCTGAGGTGGGAAGACTTCTGTCCGGCCTTCAAAAATGATCCTTTGTGAACCCGTTTTGACTACTATTATTTAGAAATCCTGTTACAGGGCAAATGGGAAGTGATCTTAGGGAAGGTCGTAGAAGGGAAAAGAAACTATCCTTTACCATGCTACCTCTCAACTATGTAAGAAACTTACTCTTTGGGACCAGCATAATGGCTATGTCGCTGGACTCCCATGTAGTCGACGGCAGTTCGCATCCTGGACCTGGTGGCTTAAAACTCACGCCAGGCGCGTGTGCATGCATGCCCAAGATCCCAAGAGGAGAATGGAGGAAAAGGGATTGCGGCGTGGCCATCCCCCCGGGGGGTGATTTCTCGCTTTCTGTCTCTGTCTGTCTGGCGAGCGCACGTGCCCTATAGCAAAATCCTCTTTAAAAAAAAAGAAACCTACTCTGTGAGGAGAGGATGAAGTGGACCTTCTCAAAGCAGGCTCTGTGTGAGGAAATGGGCTTTCTTGTAGATGCCAGTATAACTGAAGGAGAGGGTTCATATTTTGTCAGAAATGGAGCATACCTTTAGTTACAATCTTTTATTTCTCTGACTAAATCTATACTGACTATAATAGCAAATGGCTTGCATAAGATTTGCACATAAATATTTGAAAAAGCTTTTGGTCTCAGATGAATTTTTTGAAAGCATTTAAGAATATATGTAGCACTTACATTTTAAAATTAATAGAGCTAACACACAGCAGATAATTTGGTAAATTTGTTCCAGGACTGTGATTTGAATCTATCCCCAACCTCCCAGTGGTCTCCCAGACTTCCCAGGAGTCACCGTGGAGAGCTGGAGAGGGAGCCTCTCAGGTTTCCCTGGGAGGTAGACACCAGAAGAGCCAGCTCTGCGGGGCCTCCTGCAGGGAAACGCCTGGATTGTGAGTGTGTTCATCATGCCTGTTCCCTCCATCCCAGACTCAAATCACAGCCACTTCCAGGATGTGCAAATTGAATCGACGTCATGTCTGTAGACAACAATAAAATGTGTCTTTTGTTGGTCTTAACATTTCTTTAGCACAAAGCTCCTCCAGTTTTAGATTTGTGGTGCTAAAGAAACACATTTACAATTTGAAAACCCGGTGCTTGTTAAGTAAAGGAATTCTTTTAAAACTTTCCTTTTTTTTTTAAATTGAAACCTGTCGGAAAGATGGATGAGTAGTACAAGGAACATTTGTACATCCTTTGTTTACATTCAGCAGTTGTTAGCATTTGCTGTTGTATCTATGTACAGTTTTTTACATGCTTATTGGTGAGAGGGGTTCATTTTGTAAAATAACTATTTCAAAATATGTTGCATACCTCGTGACATTTTACCCCTAAAGACTCCAGCATCATCTCTGAAGGATAAGAACATTTTCCTACATAACCACAATACTTTCGAGAAGTAACTCTTGATTGAAAACTTTAGACAAAACACAAGAGTCAAAAGAGCAGAGCTTGAACTGTGCTGTGACCGAACATCCAAAGTGCAAGGAGGAGAAATAGAGAGGGATTGTCAGAACTACTTGGTTCCAGGGAGGATAACTTTTATATTACCGATGAAGTACTCAGTTGATGCAGATTTTCTCCAAATATTTACTTTAATCCCGTTCAAGGAGTGTCTCCTAGTGCTCTGAAGTTATTTAGTGTTTTGGCCAGGGCTATAAGCTTTTCTCCCTTTAAATACATTTCTTCAGTATCATTAATCTGAAACCTGAGAGACCACGTCCTATTAGGGCTTGTGGTTCTGAGCAAATTTTCAGGAGAGTTTGCTGATACCATTATATCAAGAACATGGGACCTTCAGTTATTACAGTCAGAAATGTTAATTGGTGGGTAGCTGGAGTAAACACGGGAGTCCTTCCCTGACATTTCATTTAGGTGTGAGTAAAAGCTGATGTATTAGCACACTGTTCTGAAAAATAGTGTAAATGACCTGGCAAAATGTTAAGCTTAAGCTTGAAGTCCTCACAGACTTTTTGCACCTTTAGGCTCTGGGAGGCAGCTCAAGGAAGAATGCTATGCTTACAGAGTTGAACAGCAGGGACAGAGTCAAGTGGATGGTATGTATAAGCTTACTAATTTGTGTTTTGAAACAAAGATGCACCTTTTCTTGACACCATTAGCTCATAGAACGTTAAGCAAATTAAAAGCTTCCTTTGGACTGTTTCCCTGAAAATATCCGTCCTTGGTAGACTTTAATATTTTATGAGAAGAACTATGTTCAGGAATTTATTTTTCAAGCTTGAAAAACTATTTTTACTAAGCTTTGGGATGGGAACCATGTTACGCTGTCTCTCTGAATAAGTACATCATGCGTCATCATACCAAGAATGAGAAGAAGTGTGTTTCCTTTAACAGCAGTATATGTCATCAAGATGCTTGACTCATGATCTTTTATGAAAAGCTCCATTTTCGATGAATGCTAGTGTTTACCCAGTGTGTGGAATGTGGTAACTGCCCTCCTCTGTCAGAGGGGAGACGCATCCTAGAGAATAGGACACTGTGTGTTTATCTTTCATTTCCTTCTTCTTTCTACTCTTAGTATTCAGTGTCCATGGAGATTTCTAATTTTAAATTCCTATTCTACATATCGAATTTACAAGCTCTGATTTCTAGAATAATTTTTTGTACTCTCTCGGTGAGCAAATTAAAAAAAGTTAATCTAAAATGCATGTGTAGTTTCTTGTGTATCAAAGCCACACTTTTCCTTCATCCAGCCTCGATGTCTCCTGTTTCCCATTTGTTTTAGAAAGTTCTGTGTGAAATGTGAACTCTAGTTTACACAGTTACTAGGAGTGAATGTATGTCCGTTGGGATAATAACCCTTGAGCTGTCCTTGTGGTAATTGTACGTAGAATATTAGACTCTTTCTCCTGTAATGCTGAGAGCTCACCTTTCACATGTAAATTGGAAATGTCACTACTTGAACTTGGCCACCAGTGTGTGTGTATAATTTTGATTGGCATCATAATGGTTTTTGGCCACTCTGTGAGAATTTTTTTTTTTTGTAATTTTCTATAGGTTGTGTGCACTTGTCGGGCAGGAGAAAGTACCCCCCAGGAGGAATGGCCATGTCACAATCCGTTCTCTTCAATTCTACTTTGAGGATTTTGGGCACATGTGCACACAAACACTCAGCATGATTTTTAAGTCACCAGGTCCTGGACTTGAACCAAGCAGTTGGCCATGTGGGATCCAGCTGCCTTAACCACCACACCCCATGGCTGGTCCAAGAATTTTGTTTTTAAGACGCAATGTATGTCAAGCCAAGCTCAAGATGGAAGATTGCCTTTGTCCTTAGTCATTAGTTTGGAAAGTAAACATTTAGAAAATGCCTGCTCGTGTTAGTGCTGTTCAGAAAAGAACAGGATAGGATTGTTGCCCTGGAATCATGTGGCAGGTGCCATGAGTGGGTTCTAACAGCATAAGAGCCATTTGAAAGGCTTGGGGATGGGGGTGAACATATGGATGTAGAGATGGGCATTAGATGATTCACTCACTCCACAGAAAGGTAAGTTAGTTATTAAAGACATCACTGAACAAATGAATTTCAAACTGGACAGTGAAAGAATTCCCTCAGTAGGGCAAGGGTAATAGAACATTCAAGGCAAACAGCATATACAAGTCACTGAGACAAGAAGCACACGATTTCAAGTAGCTCCATGTGAAGAGAGTTCGGGAACAAGGAGAGGGTAATGAGAGATGATCAGGCTGATTATGGAGATCACACGTACCATTCTAGGAGGTTGGCCTCTCTCCTGCAGGTAGTGGGGAACCACCTCAGGACTTTTAGAAAGAAGTTGCATGATCATATTTGTGCTTTAGAAATAGTATCTTGGGGGCAGCAGGTGGCATGGTGGTTAAGGCATTAGACTCTCACATAGCCAACTGTGGTTCAAGTCCCTGACCTGGAGGCTTGTATTCTCACATGCACCCCACCCCCAGTTCCATCTCTCTCTGGTGGGTACACATACCCTATAGCAAATTTTAAAATGATAATAATAATAATAAAATTAAATTAAATAAATCTTAAGAGAAAAAAGAAAGTTAAAAAAAAAAAAAAAACCTCAGGAAAAAAAGGAAATATTGACTTGCAGCAATATAAAGATGCAATTGAAGGGGATGGAATCCAAGGCCAGGGTATGAGTTGCTGTGCTCCTATAAAAGTCCATGGGAGAAGCAATGTGGCAGTGGCAGTAAAGATAGAGACTAGGAGATGATGAATCTTCTTTGGAGCCAGCAAGTGGCACAGTGGTTAAGGTGCTGGACTCCCATGTGATCGACTGAGGTTGAGTCCCAGATCTGGCAGCTTGAAACTCAGGTTGGATGCATATGCATATATGCCAAAAATCCTGAGAGGAAAATGGAGGAGAAGATATTGTGGTGTGGCCATCTCCCCAAAGATGATTTCTCCCTTTCTGTTTTTCTGTCTGTCTCTGCCTCTCTGATGAGTGCATGTGCCCTATAGCAAAAATCTCTCTATAAAAAAAAAGAAAGAAAGAAAGAAAGAAAGAAAGAAAGAAAGAAAGAAAGAAAGAAAGAAAGAAAGAAAGAAAGAAAAAGAAAGAAAGAAAGAAAGAGAAAGAAAAAGAAAAGGAAAGGAAAAAGAAAAAAAAGAATGAGGATCCTCACAACCCAGTGACTGATTGGATCGGGTGTTGAGAAAGGGGAAATTGAGGACAACTCCAGGTTTCTGGTTTGGGTGACTGCATAGGTGATGACATCGTATGTGGATGCTAAATTAGGTGATGAGATTGAGGGGTGAGATTAATGTGGTAGAGAACAAAGAGAACCAATGATAGAAGCCCTAGGAAGTGGGTATTTAAGGAAGAAGGACATTAAAAGAAGCCTTAGAAGGACTAGTTTGAGGGACAGAAGAATACCTAAGGATAGTGTGTTTTAAGACCCAGAACAGGAGTCTTCAAAAGGAAGGTGTGATCAAGGATGTTAAGGACTTCATGAAAGTCAAGTGAGGTTTCCCTAGTAGGTTCAGTAATCCTTAGAAGAGCAATTGGTGACTTGTGAAAATGCAAAACTTGTGTATTATTAAGGTAATGCCTTAATAATTTCTCAATTCAGCAATGTTTAGACCAACCAGGCAGAAAGTTAGTAAGGAAATACTGAACTTGAATTGAAATTTTGACTGAATGGATCTAACAAACATGCCAAACTTCCCATCCACTAGGAGCAGAATGCATATTTTTCTCTAATGCTCATGCTCTTGAACAACCAATAGGTGAAAGAAAAAATCAAAAGGAAAACTTAAAAATAGCTCAAATTAAATGGTACTGGAAACAACATAACCAAAACCTATGAGAGGCAGCAAAAGCAGTTCTGAGAGGGAAGTTTATAGCAATATGCCTACATGAAAAAAAGAAAAAGAGCCCAAGTAAATAGTATGGCATGGTGCCTTAAGTAACTAGTAAAGGGACAAACTAAAACTCAAATTAGCAGAAGGAAGAAAATAAAAACTAGAACAGAAATACATGAAACAGAACAGAAAAACCGTTGAAAGAATCAACTTATTTCTAAGAGTTTATTTTAAGAAAATAATAGTCAACAAATTCTCAGCTAGTCTAAGGAAAAAAGAGAACTCAAGTAAAATAAGTAGAGAAGAGTAAAAGTAGAGAAATTACAGCAGATACTTAAGAAATAATAGGATGATAAGGGATGATTAAGTATATGCCAGCAAGTAAGATAACCTTGAGGAAATAGATAAATTCCTAGGAAAACACAACCTACCAGGATTGAATCAGGAAGAAATGAAAGGCTTAAAAGACAAATAATAAATAGAGATTGATGAAATAATTGAAAACCTCTCAACAAATAATAATTCAGGACCAGATGGCTTCACAGTTGAAATCTACTAAACATTCAAAGACAAATTAACCCCAAACTCTCAATCCTTTCCAAAACAAGGAACTAGGTACATATATAGTCATGGAACACAGCTAGGATACCTCCTGAGAAATGTGTCATTAAGTGATTTTGTTACTGTGCAAATATCAGTATATGTATGCAAACCTTGATGGTATGGCCTACTATTCATCTAGGCTATACGGTATGGCCCGTTGCTCCTTTGCATCATGTTACTGTACTGAAACCGTAGGCAGTTATAACACAGTGGTAGGTATTTGTGTATTTAAACATATAAAAACATAGAAAGGTACAGTAAAAATATGGGATAAAAGATACAAAGAAAAATATGGTACACATGTACAAGCATTTACCATGAATGGAGTTTGCTGGACTAGAAGTTTCTCTAGATGAGTTAGTGAATGGAGAGTGAATTTGAAGATCTAGAACATTACTGTACACTACCATAGACTTAAGAACATTGCACACTGGGAACAGCAGTTGGTGTAATGGCTGTCGTTGGATTCCCATATAGTTGACCATGGTTTGAGTCCAGACCCGGTGGCTTAAACTCATGGCAGGTGCATGTGTGTGCGTGACCAGGACCCTGAGAGGAGAATAGAGGGGAAGGGATTGTGGCGTGGCCATCCCCCTTGGGGGGTGATTTCTAGCTTTCTGTCTGTCTCTGTCTTTCTTTCTGGTGAGCGCACGCACCCTGTAGCAAAAACTTCTTAAAACAAAACAAAACAAACAAACAAAAAAACACTGCACACTTAGGCTACGCTAAGTTTATTTAAAGCTTTCTTTCTCTAATAATAAATTAATCTTAGCAGCTTGCTGTAACATTTTAACTTACCAAATATTTCAATTGTGTTTAACTTTTTGACATTTTTGTAATAACACTTAGCATAAAATACACTTTGTATAGCTGTACAAATTTATTTTTTGTTTTTACCCTTATTTATAAGCTTTTTTTCTTTTAAAGCTGTTTTGCTAAAAACTAAGACACGAACATACACATTAACCTAGACCTACATAGAATCAGTGGCATAACTATCATTGCCTTCCACATCCACGTCTTGTCCCACTAGAAAGGCCAAGTAACAACAAACAACACAAGATTAAAATCAAGAACAAGAGAAAGTGATGCAAGGAAGAGATGTAAACACAAGATGTGTGAGGCTATAGCCGGTATAACACAACA